ACAGGACAATTTCTTTGAATGGTGTAGCAAAACTGGAAAACAGGCATTTATACTGTTAGGAAAGTTTATAATGAGTTGTATTCTGTGTGGTGAGAACTAGATTCACTACTCTGAGTTTCTGCTTTGTGTGTTCAGCTCCTCTTTTCAGTGTTCTGGCAAAGTAGGATGTCCTGCTCCTCACACAGGAGACAATCTGGGAGACAGTCATCAGCCAAGGGTTGAAACTTATTGCGCACGTTTGTTCATGATCAGCTACCAGGCAATTTCATAGTTAACAACTGAAAATCAAGTATGACACAGTCAGGTTTTGGGCACCCAGTGTCTCCACTGTGACACCATGTTACTGGTCTGATGGGCTTAGTGTTGATGGCTCTTTGCCTCTCAGTTCATAGTGGATGGGCAAGGGATTCTCTGATGATGGAAAACCAGAGATAAGCGAGTGTCTTCCCTCTTTTCCAGGCTCCAAAGTGTGTATACACTTTTCCTCAAGGGCAACATGGTCCAAAGGATAACTTTCTCATTTTTAGTTAAAAAACAGTGTGTTGTGGGTCACTGAGACAGCAAACTGAGTGCCATTTGTCTGGTACCTTCTAATTGTTTGCAGCCATGATGCAATTTTCTTAGTTTTATTCTTTTTAAGCAGTGACACCAAGCAAGTGGTCTGTGTTGTGTTTGGGTGCAAGGTGGGCAAGCAGGTCTTCATGCTACAATGTCATATGTGCTTTTTCTCACACATTTTTCTCATTGTTAGCAGTGGCATTAATTTTAATTTGTTTCCTTAGTTGAATGGAGGTTTGACATGCGCAATTCCGTGTTGCAGTTGGGCGAATTGATGCTTGATGGACTGGTCAGAAATTGTGGTGATTTTTTTTTACTTGTAAACAGAATTCTTAATTTAGTGAAAATAAAGATCTTTATAATTTGAAGTCAGTTGCCAAGAGAGGTTTGCAAATTGCTAATAAAAGGTTAAACTCATTTACAAATAGGGAAATGCTGACATTTAAAGTACTTTTTACATTGTTATAGAAATAGCTGGTGTTCTTTCTACTACGACATTTATATCTTATTTTTGGAACAGTGTTAGTTGCTGCTGTAAAGATTATGAACCTGTCTAGAAGTAGAGGGACAGAAATACATTTTTTTTGTGCTTGCATCACATCCTGGTACCAAATGATCAGTGGTTGCCCTCCTCACCTCTGGGCTGAGCAGGTTTAGGGTTCTGCAGTGAATTGATGTCCCACATGTGCCAATGGCTTTGCTGTTGCCTTGGTCTGCGCAGCAGTTTCTGAATTTCAGGCTGGCGGTCTCTAACTCAGTGGCAAAAGAAACATTCATTGGTATTGATTAAATGAAACACAGTTGAAAACTACGATAAACAGTACCTGTTAGATTTTCTGGATTGTTGATTTGAGTATTTTGTACAGATGCCCAGATATCCACTGCAGCAATACATAAAATATATTGTTCATCTTCTTACTTATGCAGGAGATGGCTTAAAAAGCATAAAGGTGACCACTGTCTCCAGAGGAACGGACCACCAGTTAATTGGTTTGAGCACTGATTACACGGAGAAACAATCAGCTGTACTGTGTGTACTGCAGGAACTTACGCTATAAAGGCTGAGGAAATGCTAGTTTGTCCTAGATATGTCCTTTTTACTGTCTGCCACATGCTCACATAAAAAGCTTTAGAACGTACCTGAATGGGGCATTCTAAAAGCCATTCCCCTGACGGATCCCTGCGGCAAGAAAATCTCTTCAGCTTGAATTCTTTTTTCTTTGCTGTCCTTTTTATTTACTTTTCAATTCAAGTATGCATATTCTATAGCTCCACTTGTTCTCCCAGGAGATGTCAGACGATCACCTCCTATGCTGTGGATCAAGGGCTTTCTGAAAATGCATGTGAGGTAAATTGAACAAAATGAGAACTAACTAATTCTAATTAATTCACCAATGTTGTATTGTACAATTATATATATTGTTTAAAGAGTGAGAAGCACCTCATAATAATGGAGTTTCAGGTTATTAATACACCTTCTACAGTGGTCCCTAATTAGTTAGAGTAGGTTTGACCAATTCTACTCCCATGCTATGCTAATGTACCTGGCCTGAAAAGGTCACAGCTAGTGGGATCTAAAAAGACTCTTAAAGTTTTGCTCATATGAGTTCCTTAACAATTGAGTAAAATTGGTAAAAATAGAAATAATAAATGGAAAAGGCAGTACCAAATACTGATATTATAGCTTCCATTTGCCATTGCTTTGGTCAGAGGCTTTGCACTCTGAAAATTTGTTCAATGTGAAGAGATCTTCATGGATTATAGAACAGGACTGTTACTAAACACTTGTTTTACATCTTATTATAATTCTTTGGGCAAAAGTGGGTTATCTCTGACTGCTGTACAGGCTGGAGCATCTAGGGATTGCTGTAATCTGTGTTTTGCTGAGTCCCTAGAGGACTCATTGCTAGCTGAAGAGAGACAAAAGATGGCGCTCCCCCGAAGATCATGCTGTTGCTTCCCTTTACTCTTTGCTCAAGTAACCTGATGAAAAGAGCTGCTATGACAAGCACAGGCTAGCTGAGAGTTTTCCCACAGTCTGGGAATTAGCTGGCTTGATCAGGCAATTATTTGGTCTGTTACTACTTATGGCTGACACAAATGTGTCATCACATAGGAGAGAAGCTGACATGTAAAATGCTTTCCCATAGGCAATGCAGTTTCTTAAACCAGTGGTGCACAGTAAGCTTAGAGGAACGGACATAACGATACATATTAATGACATCAGGAGTCCCCTAGCATTAAATCAAGCCATTTTATATGACTGCTATGAACCCTTAGCTTCACTGCTGGTTTGTGAACTTTCTTTTAGTCATCTGTTGAGCATATTTCCTAAATTCTTGTATTGTCTTGCAGCCCTCTGCTTTGGTTAGGAAAACACAGCAGTTGGAACTGAGGGTATGGCTTGGGGTTACAGCATGATGTTATAGAAAATCTTGATTTTTTCTAAGCTGGATCTGGCAAAGCATTCGTGAAGGTACTGAGGTATTAACATCTTTGCACTAAGCCATTTGAAAAACAGGATTTGCAAAGAAAGATACTGAGTGTTTATCTCTAGGATACAAAAGAGTTTCATGGATTAATGCTCTGTAAGCTGTTCTGACTCTTCAACCTGTTATTCTACCAAGCACCATGTGTTTGGCAAGTTACAGGGAGAGCCACATGGCACAAGAGCTTGCAGTATGAAAAGTGTGGTTAAAAAATGAATGACTCAATTCTTTTCCACAGCCCAAATGGGGTTGAATTACCTTGTCTTTTTTTAAACAATGACACTAACCTCTGAGACAAAACCCATTTTATCTCCCAAGTAGAGTTGAAGTGTAATTGGAAAAACAGTTTTTTTGAAAATCCAGAATATTTGTATTTCATATGGGGATACTGTGTAGGATGGGAGTGTCTGAAGCACATCACAGATGACATTCCTGACTGTTTTGTGTGACCTGAAACTGCATTTCTCAATGATTAACAGTTCAGAAACCATTCCTGACACAGAATGTGGCTTCACTGAAGTCACTGGAGCTGTGCTGTGCCTGGAACTGTCATATACATTGTGTATTTTACAGCTCTGGGTCAAGTTGCGAGGAGCCGAGATAAGGAATACATTAAGTAGTTTATAGGTGGCGAGACAAGAGCCTGCATCGTGGTGCAGGTGGCAAGCACTGGCAGCTGATCCAGCTCCTCCATCAGGCTTCGTAACCTTGGCTGAACTCCCTGCTCTGATCACGGTATTTCCTCCAGTAACCCTGCTGAGAGCTGGTGAGAAAGCACTGACCCCTTGGTGAACCTCACAGGCTCCATTTGCCAAGGCCTGAATTGCCACCCAGATGCCAGTGAGGTCAAAGAGTCGTGGTAAGATGCTGTGCAAAGCATCCTCTGCAAAAGGCACCAGCTTTCTCCTGGCCCTGACCTGGGGAGAGGCTTGTCATCAGGACAGAATTTCTGTGTGAGTGTTGTCTGTGAGTCTGGGCCTGCCTAAATCTGCCCTTACTGATGTGCTCAGGTTAAAACTGATAGCAGAGGATTTTGATTCTCTTCTGTGTCTCATGCTCTGTGCAAGGATGCACTTGGCAGCTCCGGACTCCATGCTGCTTTTCCAGCCTCACTACTTCTGTGCTAGTCTATATGTTTCTCTAAAGTCATTTAAACCAGACTTAGCATCTTGATGTGTTACCTCGTGCATGCAGAAAATCACATACACTCTCAGTAAAAATCCTTTGTGTTAGTCTTCTTTTCTCTGCTTTCCTCCTCTTTGTACTGTAAAGACAGTGTCTTAGCACAGAGCATTATAAGGTTATGTTAATTAGAATAGCCAGTAGCTATTCTGGCTATTCTAATACAGAAGTAATGCTAAGTAGTTGAGGTTTTGCATGTTAAGGTATGGATTTATAGCAGGGCAGAAAGGATCTACAGTAAGGGCCCAGTGCTTCATTGCATTTTTATTGTGTTTGCCTGTTATGGGTTGGGGTTTATTTGTGCATAAGACATGCTGCCATTTTCAGCAGGCAGGTTATGCAGATAAACATTTTGATCATTTGTACATTATGTAAGTATGTCTTTTAAAGTGCAAGTTTACAAGTCAATTGCTAAATCTTATTGGTTTAAAACACACTGTACGCGGGTCAGTGGGCTGAAAATGTGATCTTGCAATCCTGAAGAGGAAGCCTTTGCTTTGGAGTAGACTGTAATTAAGTAAACTGTTGTATTCCTTATCACCCTTTGTTCTGTAGGTAATATATCTTGTAACCTGTGTCTGGCTCTTCTTTTGTGTTGCAAAGGTATGCTTTCTCAGGGTATTTTGTACAACCACAAGTTAGACCTTGATGTTATTTTTAATCTGTATTCTTGGTCCGATATGTCATTGCTCTGTTATGAACATTGTCATGGAATTTGAAAAAAAAAGAAAGGTGAAACATACTGAAATACCTTTGTCTTTTGTTTTTCAGGATATAAAGTTTTGAACAGTGCCTCCCCAAGAAGTGTGATGAGAAATGGCTTTAGGAAACAATACCCAGAGAAGTTATTCCATCATCCCCTGCTTCATCTTTGTTGAGGTGAGTCCAGCATTCAGCTGCCAAACCTACAGAGAAGGCAGCTCTGCCCTGCAGGAATTAAGTAATTTGTTGCCCATTTTGCTAGCAGGGAAGGATGATTTCTTACTTGATAACAGAAATATCCATCTTCATACTTGATGCCATCAAGTCCCCCTGGAAATAGTCCTGCATGAGTTATCCAGATCTTGGGTACAAGAACAAGTAGATGCTGTGTTTCCAAGACCTCTTCATCTGGTTTGCTGGCCTGTCCTGTGGTATTTGGCAGAGAACAGGCAGTAGTTGCAGATGTAGGTCAGTAACAGGTCATCTTCCCATCTTTTCTCAGACCCTTATCCATCTTGGTGCTGAACAAGAACTAGACCTTGTTCAAGGAGATTTCTGACTTCGCAGTCTCATGGTTCATAGGTTTAGGAAACAACACTCAGCTCTGATTTCCGTTCAGGTGGAACATACAACGTAGATGAGGCAAGCCTGTCTTTAAGTGTGATGAGGAAGCTTGGCTAGCACAAGGGCTGTGAATTGTCTAGCAGTGAAGTTGAAGGAGTGGATGTTCCCATCATGGAGTATGATCCACATCTTTGTTAAGGGTAGTTGGTGTGATTGATTTTTTTAAGTGACTGATTATTTTACTCTGTACAAATTGCTATTTTGTGGGTCTTCTTTTATTTAGCCTAACACTGGTAGACTGGCCAATATCATTATTAAATCAGTGGTTGTTTGACTGGTGCTTATGAGGCTGGGATGGTTTTCCTGGCAAGGGGAGGCAACTCTATGTTTCCTAGGAGGATGAAAGCTTCCATCAGATTTACATGGTAAAAAGGAAATAAATGCCTGTGACTAACCATCTTCAGAGCTACCTGTCTGATCCTAGCTTGGATGCAATACAGACCCTCTGGCCCAAATTATGAGGCAACTTGTGCTCTTCCACAAGAGAAGTGCTAAAAACTGTTGAAGGACTAACTGTAATCCTAACTGTTGTGTAAGACTTATCCCACTTCTGCTGAAATCTTGGAAGGCTTTGAGTGTGCTGGCAGCAGTGGCAGGTGAAATGGGCACTGCTTTCCAGGGCTCCTGAGCACTGACCATTCCCAGGGGACATGGGAAAAGCATGCCCTGGTATCCAGGGCCTCTCTAACCCTTCATCATCAGCTGGAGTCCCCTCCTTTTTCAGCCTGTAGAGACAGTCCCCTTGTGTGTTCTCCCTGCTTTCTGTGCTACCGGCTTAGCCCCAAAGACATAGTCAGACAATCCCTGGCTGATTAGTGTAAACAGTACTTTTTGTTTTGATTTGAATGGGCCTTTTTGACTGGTTGGAAAATGAGGAGAGAGGAGAAGCATGATAAAACCAGTAGTAAAGCTTGGCACAGGGCCTTCCCAGCTGTAGCTATGGCAGACACCAATGTGGGAAGGTGGCTGAGCCTTACAATGCTCCACAGGGTTTTGTCACATAATGTCTGGCTTCCTCGGGAATCTCTGCTCCCTGGGGAAACTGAGGGTGGGCTGTTCTGATGGAGACAAGGGGTCACTGGTTTATCCTAACAGCTAGAGAAAGAAGGGGTAAAAATTGTTTTTTACAGCAATGAGCTCAGAAAAAAACCAACCAACAATAAACACTATCAGGAATGAGATTTCTCAAATTTATTGCTTAAACAAGAACTTCTGAAGATTTTTAGTGCTCTAAGTGTATGAATGATGACTATGGTTGGAAGCCTATGACAGAGATATAAATGGTTCCTCCTGTAGACAAGACTGATATGACGATAAAGGTTCGTTTGCTCTGTAAGTGTGCATTCCTTGTCCTTTCCTATACTTGCTTTGCTGATTAAAACGCAACTTTAAATTAAAAGTCAGTCAAAACTAGAGAGGTAGTGTCTGAAAAGATGTTCTCTCTTCTACGTTTGATGAAAACATGTATTTCTTCCCCTCTTTGCCCATGATATGGATTTTTAATTTAGCACTGCTGGGGCTACAAATTCATAGACTTGTGTCAAGCATTGTAGCATTAAACAACAGGAGATCTAATTTCCTACTGGGAGTACAGAGATGATTGACTGGTAGTAGCCATTCAGTCTGAAAATGGCTATCTGTAAACCTTAAGGTACACTGGAGGTGTTGTTCTTTTCCCACTGCTGTGCTTCTGAGACTAAAGTAAGTGTTGGTTTCTTTTTTCAGACAAGCTGCCCCAGACACCCAAGCCCTGTACTGGATTACCTGAATTAGGACAGACCCTATTTTTGTAGCTTTGAAGCAACCATGAGAATTGATTAGCTGTGTGACACCTTACTGCTGTTGCCAAAAGCAGGATAGCTAAAAATAATCTTGCCTGCTTTCCTCATAACATTTTTCTGTGCAAAAACAATTCAGCAGCAGTCATGTCAGCTGGTCATGAGTACAGAAAGAGATGGTCAGTAAATATTGTCATCAGCCTGTTCCCCAGAATGTGCTGCCTCCTCCCCTGGGGTCTTGTCCTGTGATTAAAAGTCTTGAGATATTTATTCTTAAGAAAAAAATGCTGAGCCTGGATTGTCATGTCAGATGCCCTGCCAAGAGGTATTTGCTGACTACCCACTAGGCAGTGTACTTTCACCACAATGTACAGTTGTGGTGGCAGTGGTAGAAATGAGGTGTCACAAAGAGTTTGGACACTTTAAATACCATTATGCTCAGTGTGTACAAATATGACACAGTTTCAGCAGTTATTCTCATTTCCATTTTTTTCCATTTCATTTTCCTCTCACTGAACTAATTTGTAGCAGTTAGTTATTATGGAACCTGACCTGAAGATGAATGGCTCATGATAAAAACTTGGACCCTTTGCCTGACTCTACAAATTCTTTTTTATGTTCAAACTATGAAAGTTTTAATAATGGAGAGATAGCATCTGATGTCTAATCTATGACATAAATGTTAAATCGACATTTTCATTCTCTAATTGGAAACACAGTGTCATGTTATGAGTAGATTTAAAGGCTAAACAGGGAATCATTAAACTAATTTTGATCCACTTATCAGATCTGAGTTTCTCTCCCAAATAATGCAGACAACTTTCTGGATTGTTCTTTATTGTATTATAAGATATATTGTTGCAGTCTGGCATTTGTCACCAAATGTCCATGAAGATTTGGTAGAGTACATTTTGTTAAACACATAAGCAATTAATTGGGACATGCAGGAGTCTTTTCCCTGCCCTCCTTTGCAGCCAGCATCAGTGAAAGGAGCCTTCAGGAGGCTTGCTCTCAGCCTTGGTTTATGTGTAAGAGGTTGCCACCAGATGAGACCAATTTTGTTCCTCATTGAGCTGACATATGCCACTGCTTTGAGCAGCGTATGGACCACCGAGTACCTGGTCCATGAGGATTGACGCCGTTGGACAGATGTTAAATAATAGTGTAAAGAGCAGGATACCCTAATCCATAGTTTCCAGAGACCTCTGCTACATTTACTCATGCTGCACAGCATGCAGCAGAGTCTGTGGAGCTGCCAGCTGTTGGTATGCCCTGAATCTATCCCAGCAAATGCCAATAGTGCACAGCAGCCTATGTGAGGATTTGCTGATGGCCAGGACTGATCACTAACGAGATGGTAGGCAAGCATGAGAGAAGTAGGAGAAGCAGCATCTGGTTTGACAGGAAAAAAATTCTCACATATTCTTCTTTCACTTTTCCACTTTGGCCTTTGTTTGCCAAAGTTCTTTATGGAGCACCTCCTCCCTCTTTCACCTGCTGGGATGACTGTGACAGAGCAGTGTCAGAAACACCTATAAAAATGCTTCAGCACAGCTGTCCCAGGATTTTGCAATCCCACTTTGCAAGGTGTGATCCAAGGAGTGCTGTGTTACATCCTTCCACATAGCATCCACATGTGTACTTGTTCAAGGTGGAAAAAGGTAAAATCACAACTGGTAGAGGTCTGTTGTACACAAAAGTACACCCAGTTTTCTGCAGGTGAGGAATAAATTGTCAGAACAATTAAAGTCCCTCAGATCTAGGCAACGTCATGCATAGAAGTGGGAGCAGTACAGTGCCTGGAAAATCCCAGTTCTCTTCCTTGGGGACTGGTGAGCTACCCTTCACCTAATAGCGCTTTCCATGTGCTGTGGTCTTCCCGTCTCTGTGTTCATCTCATTTTGGGGTTTAGCTTTCTAAGACAAAACTCAAGCTAGTGGGATATAGGAGAGTCCAGTCTGGCTTTGAATTTGGTAGGTCAAAGTGATTGTCCTTGCATTTTCAGCATATGTGATGCTTATTGTTAGTGACAGGAAGTGTGAAGGGATGTGATAATTCCATTTGCTAGTAAATATTGGAGGGAAAGTTCCATACTGTGAGTAAACAGCATCCTTACAACTATACATGACTTCAGGAGGGAGGCATGTGAACAACTTTAGAGCCCTTGTGGCTGTTTGAATGGTGGTTTTTGAAGAAGCAGTATCCTCATCTTCCTGCAAGGAAAACCCTCTCATCTCTTCTGAGTCAACAGCAGTTAGGACTGTAATGGCTCTCTAGATAACAAAAGGCGAAATTTGGTCTGGAGTTTCTGCTTATGTGGTATTTTCTTCTTCCTTTTTCCTCCCCCTTGCACTGCATGTCCTGGTTTGAGGGCTTGGATTGTTTCAGGGTGTAAGTTATCTGAGGATTTATTTTCAAGTGCAGTTACTCCTGAAGGAGCTGGGGCCATCTGAGATGTGTCTTTGCACATGAAAACACTTCAGTTTTCTGGAAGCAGCTTTAATTAAATTGTCTTAAACTGATCAAAGAGTTACTGAATGACAAGTGACTTTGATATGACTGATGTATATTCCACATTGTGCTGTATTGTGGATTATTGTAATCCTGACTATGACAAGGCAGTAGGGGCAGACTCAAATAAGCAACACCATTAAAACTTAAAACATTAAACATCTTTCAAATTCTGTAATCTGAAGATCCCACTTCTTCACACTAAATCCATTATTCTGCCCTCGGGAAAGCTTTTGCAAGCAGAGTGGAAACTGTTTCTTCTTG